TCTTTAAGGTTACTGCTATAAATGTTGCAGCATGCATCAAGATGCTACACTGTGTACATGAGAAGACATACAACTGATTTGCTGATACAGCATTTAATAAAAGTTGAATGCTTTGCTTATATGTATGTTGTATCTTGTTTTTGCAGGTTTCTATAAACCTAAACAAATATTTCATTGCTATTTGTCTGTTTGTTTGCTTAACTGCATGAAGTCTTTGAGACGTCAAACAGGAGTTATGGAAATGTGTTGCTCAACACTACTCCCGCTCACACCATCTGGTTATCCTCTCTTTCTTTTTATCTGTCAGCGGCATGTCGTTTTTATGGAGAGATTCTGAAAGAACAAAAGATAAAGAATAGTAAAAAAAAAAACATTTGGAAGATGAAATTCCAGAGATGATTCACATGGTCAGGAGAAAAAACAGCTGGCCCTAATTCATTTATTGTATTCATGGTGTGAACTCATCGCTTTCTGTCGGAGCAGAGGAGGTGGAGAATACGTACATTTGTTGAAATATCCACCAAGCGATATTTAGCAGCAGCAGACAAGAATTCACAAAAATGTTAAGCACCACACGAGCCCTTGATTTGTTTCTTTCCCATTAAGCTATATTTGAGTTTCATAAGTGCACGGCCCATGGGAATAAGACGGAGCAGAGCGAGGATTCTTCTCTAATGTCTTCTTATTTCCTCATCTTTACCTGTCTGACTCATAGAGAGACACACACACACACACACACACACAGCCTAGTTCCCACCTACACACATTCAAACACACCCGACAACAGCGTCTTTTGTATTGTGCATGCAGAGGCAGTGGGGTGAGAAATTGTGCTCTCTTCAGGGGGCTCGCACAAGTCATGTGAAAAATGATTTATATCAAATCAACCTTTTTTATTTTTTCTTTGCTAAGATATCAGGATTCTTTATATCGCCGCTTATTTCTTTGCTGTCAGCAAGTCTGTTGCTTGATGTGCTTTCTCCTCCGTCCATTTCATTCATTCATGCTCGTGCTCTTTTATGAATCCCCTGCTCCTACACCCCTTCATCTCCAAATGCTCTCTCTCTGTCTCTCTCTCTGTCTCTCTCTCTGTCTCTCTCTCTG